CCCCAAAACCCCAAAACCCCAAAACCCCTTGGTTATACAATTTAGGAGAGTGTATTGTAAAAAATAATACAAGATCTAGAGAATACTTAAATTAAGATGCAAAACATGATTAGTCTCAACTAGAAACAAGTATCATCATCAACTAATAGAAAATAGTCAGAGGATCCGTCACCAATTGACACATTCATTACAAGAAATAAATTTTAGAGCTGAAATAACAATCTGTAAGGGGGCTCAGAGAATTTTAGTACTCTTCTTTAGAATAATTTGAATAGCAAAACTCTTCAGGCCAAGAGTTGACATCATATATTTAACAGTTTTATGAATCAGACTATCAGTCAAAACAGCAACTACAATAGTAATATAAACACAATAGACAGAGAATAAAATAATAGAAGTAAGAGCAAAAGGGAGCTTAAGATATCGGAAGTGGTGCATTAGATGTTTGCAACTCATAACACTTTTAACAAGACTATAAGCTCAGATTTGATTGGCAATAATTCAGGCAATAGACCATTAATGACATCTAAGTTTTAGAATAATAAAAATAGTTCTCCAATCAAAATGAATATGAGCGGCTATGGACTTGACAACTCTCCTGATAGATAGACAAGTTAAAGTTTTTTCTCTAAGAATGACATTGCTCATTCTCACAATATAAAGATCAGACCAAGGATTTTGAGGTCTATTAATAACAGGACTTAGGAGCCTATTACAAATAGCAATCTAGCTCCAATATCTTAAGACAGTCTAACACCTTAGTAAGCTAAGCAAGAAGAAGTAAAAGCTTATCATGATACGAGATTGAAATTTAAAAACTACCTTTAATCTTTTTCAGTATAGAATGCTTAGAAGCTCCAATCATCATCAATTAATAGAATCAAAGGTGAGTTTTTAAAGAATCAACTTAATCAAATGAAAAAGCATGAGTAGACAAAGTTTCTCAAAGGAATACTTAAGAAATAGACCAGGCTGGCGAAGGATCTGAAACATGTTAAAATGGATAACTATTCTTTAGGTTCAGATACAGAAATCTCTATTACATCATCTGAATCCTAGTATTCCTCTGATAGGGATAAAGTGCCCTCGGAGCTTGAATTCGACCAGATGCCTTTTCATTACTAATATAACATAAATGACTCAGATTTCCTAAAGGAAAAGAAATTTCAATTAAGACTAAGGGATTTATATAAGATGTTGTCTAAAAACTAGGTTGTAGTTCTGCCAGACCCTCAGATTCGATCGAGAGATGCTCAGCCTATGTTCCAAATATTTACAGCTGATTTCAGAGAGAGGAAGAAGTATTAGAAATTCAAGAATGCTTATATGGCAGGGGATGTAAAGAAGGAAACTAGTGAATTCATGGCAGATATAATCAAACCACAAATTACTAAAATAATGCAGTAGAACAAGAATATGGGCCAGTCAGATTCAATTAAATTTGAAAAGATCCGTCTGAAGAGTCTCATCAAGAAGCAAAAGGAACTTTAGCTAAGAAAGAAAGAGGAAGATAAGGAAAAACTAGATAAAATCAAGGTAGATCCAATTAAAGTTAAGCAAGAATACACTTAGAATTTCTTAAAAATGCGACGAGAGATGAAGCAGTAAAAACTCAATCAGTCATAACTATCGGCTGGGAAATAAGCTGAAAAGTCAAAGGATGCTGAAATTAAAAATAAATTAGAATAGAGTGGAGGTAGCAGTGAAAGGAAGAAGCAAAAATATAGCAAAATTGACACTGTTGATAGTACTACCATACTAGAGAAGCAGGATCCATTTGTAGATGGAAAAAGAAATTCAAAAGCTTAAAATATGGACTAGTTTTTTTCTTAATACACAAGAAGATCAACAGTTGTCTATTAACCATCACTAATGCTTTAGGCCTTCATGATCCATGATGGCTAGGAGGATAACGATAGATTTTTGAAAGTCAAACAAGAATGGATCGATATGAAACGTAAACTAGAAAACAAGATAAGTACTAATAATAAGAAATATGAATCGATAGAACAAATTTTATCTCTTACCAAAGATCGAGATTAAGCTTCACCAATTTATAGATCTTCCTTAATCAAATAAAAATTTGCTAAGATTCAAGAAAAGAAGGAATCAAGAGCCAGCTAAATAAGAAATTTGCTTATAAAACACAGTACGATAGGTGGTGGAATAAGAAATAAAAGCTAGGTAATTCATAAAATGAACACCTATCAGGCTTTTAACATGAATGTAAATAGCCAAGAAAGAAGAGCTACACTGTCTGATGTTTTCTTTGAGAAGAAAGACAGAGATAAGAAGTCAGTGAAAAATAAAAAAAGTGCGAGGAAAAATATTTACAACTGACTTAAATCCTTGTATAATTCATTTGATTTTATTAAGCTTGATTTCATAATTTAACATCAATCGATGCTCAAGGGGTTTTGGGGTTTTGGGG